GCCCCGACCGGGCCCGCCTCCAGACGCGAGGAACCACCTACCGCGCGTCGGCTCCACAGCCGAGGGCTCCCTGGCTACCGGCTGGGCGACCTCACCACCAATGAGTTGAGCGGAAAGAGCGGCCCGCAGCGACTTCCGGAGGAAGTGGAAACGGCGCCGGAAGTCGGGGGGCGGGTCAAAGGAGGCGCGGTCCCCCGAGTGCATGGCGGGGCTCTGGCTGGTCCCCAGCCCCAGCATGCGGCTTCCGGGGGGCCGACTTTGGCGGCTCCTGCCTCACGGGCTCGGCTGGGCCCCGGCGGAGGGGGCCGCCAGAGTCTGGCTGAGGCAGCTCGGCGCGCGGCGAGAGGAGGCGTGGCAGACCTCGGAGCTGGCTCGCAGCGGCCGGGGAAGCCGGCCCTTGAGCACGGGGATGCCTCCCCCTCCAGGGTCGTCCGGCCCCGAGCCGAAGGGCCGCAGAGACCCCATGCGCCCCTCCAAGCCCGGGGTGAGTGCACACCTGCAGCCCTCTCTTTGCTCGTCGCCCCTGCACGCCGCCCTACGGCCTCCCCGTCCCGCTTGGTGGTGACCTCGGAAATGCTCCCCAGCTCAGCCTTACCGGCGGGGGTCGCACACTCTCCTCCCTATTTTCCCTTGCTTCGCGCGTAGTCCAGCCCGAAAGGGAGAACCTGAGAACTGACGCTTTCCCCACGCGGCTGGATTCTCGGGCTTGGGTTTTAGTTTTGCGTCCCCTCCTCCCAAAATACCCCGAAAATAGGGTTCGGGTTTTCCTGGGGGTCTCGGCCTTAAGTTGACCACGATTGAGGAGTCAGAGCATGTTCATTTCTGTCACGTGAACCCGCTTTAGAGGTTCGGTGTGTATGTTGAAATTGAGCAAAATGTGAGTCGTAGTTGCGTGCAGGGTATGCCTTTTTCTTTGGTTTCTCCCAGGTTCTAGTTCTGACCCCCACTACGCACTAGTGATGGGTAAGAGAAGTGGGCTTTAGAGGCTGGGGGAGGAAGGTTAATCAGTGAGGCCGAGGGAGTCGACATCTTACTAACCTTGGGACTTGAAAACGAGGGAAAAGGAGTAATTTGCAAGAAGCTCCATTTCTACTTCGGCTTTGTTACTTCTGGAAGCCAGAGTTAGGTCAACCTCCCGAATTTTATTTATGTTCCCAGTATCAGCACAATCACATAATTAACTGATTTTCAAATCAGCAGTTGGGAGTCAGGATTCCCACTTAGTAACAGTCGTGGGACTTGAGCTTTGGGTGTCTTTCACATGAAATGCACTTAAGGACTTTCTTTCCCCTTGGGAATGAATGCTTCTGTAATTGTGGTCACAGCCCAGATGTAAGTGCGCCCAGACTCTGTTGGTACTTTTTCACCCCCGAGTAAAGTGGAAACATTGTACATATTTAACAGAATCAAGACCTGTATTTATGTATATTAAAAGCCAGGATAGTAAACTTAGTATGGTTAAATGTTTGCATCTTACTAGTGTTTTTCTTTGAAATCTGTGCCCCAGTAGCCGGTTTCCTGGAAGTCTTTGGCATTCACATTTGCAATTGGTGGAGCTTTATTGGCTGGAATGAAGTACTTCAAGAAAGAAAAGACAGAGAGTAAGTAGATATCTATCCTCCTGTCAGCTCGAAATAAAATCCTTTTCTAACATTTTTTATTTTGTTTTTAAAATTCTTATCTTAAATAATTTTAGATGAACAGAATAGTTATAAAGATGGCATAGAGAGTTCCTATGGACCTTTCACCTGGCTTCCCCTACTGTTAACAAATTATATAACCATGGCTCATTTATCAAAATTAAGAAATTAAAATTGGTGCAATACTCTTCACTTGATTTGGAATTCGCCATTGTTTTGTCTTTTATCTGGTCCAGGATCCAGTCCAAGATACCACTGTCTAACAGTATGAAAAGACTTACTGTGGACAGGTTTGGAGGTGGGTGGTGAAGCCTGGAGGGTACAGAGATGACCAAGATGCATTCCAGCCATTGAGGTGCACATGACAGGGAAGCAGGCACAGAATTAAAGGATTTCACTAGATGAGGTTCTGCCAAGCCAGGGGGAAGCCCAGGATGCTCTGAGGGCCGAAGAAGGGCCAGCCCCTACTGCAAACTACTGAGTATGCAGAGGGAGAGGCCAGAGGCTGACCACGGATGATGAGCAGAGATTGGGAGAACGTGGTCAGGGGGTGCCAGGAATGGCTTTGGATTAACACGGGAAGTGTTTAGACATTGTTTGCAAGAACTTCATACTTCAGTGAATAGTCCAGGCTTTTAAGATTTGGTTTAAAGGTTTCCAGTAAACCTTTAAAATATCACTTAAATCGGTTTGGGTTCTTTAGAGTCTCTTTTGATGCCATGATACAAAGGATGTGTTTAAATCTGCAAGAATTCATAGGCTTTAGAATCTTAGCAATATAAGATCCGTATCGACAAGTAGATGTGTTTCTTTTGTATAACAACCAGTGTTTTATTGATGTGATTTCCATACTCTAATGAGAAATTAAGTTCCTTTGGTTTCACAAAGAAACAAATCTGAGAAGCTGGGAAAGTAGGGGCAGACAGTTCTGGGATATGCAAACTTTTGACTTTAGTTTGGAATTTCGCCTGCAATAGTATTTGTTTAATAAAGAAAATTACTATGAAACTATTGAAAGTATTTCTAAATTATCTGAGAGCATTTGCCGACATGATGCCTCATCAAATGCTTCACTGTGTACATTTTACAAACAAGTACGTTCTCCCAACATAATCATAATGCAGCCGTCAAAATCAGAACATTAACATCGACATGTTAACTGCCATTCAGCCTTCAGACCTTATTCAAGTGTTGCACCTTGATGTTCCTTATCACAAAAGGATCCGGGTCAGAACCATTCTTGTACCTACTTGTCTCTTTAGTCCCCTTCCATCTGTAGCAGTTTCTCAGTCTTGGTGTGACTTTCATGACCTTGAAAACTTCGTTATTTTGTAAAATGCCTCTTGGTTTGAGTTTGTCTGATTTCCTCACGATTAGATTCAGGTCATGTCCTTTTGGCAAGGATATCACAAAAAGTGATGCTGTGTTCTCACTGCTTCTAGTCTGGTACCATGTGATTTCATTTTGTCACATTACTGATAATGTTCATTGATCATGCATGAGTCAGCCTTCTCTACCGAAAACGTAGTTAACGTATGTTTTGTGGTGTGTATTTACATATGTAAATATTCCAGTCCCCGCCAAACTCTCCGTGCATGTATGTCCATACCAACTGGTGCTTTCCTATTTATTCCGAGAACTGTAATCCATATTCTCTTTATTTTGATGCTTTCCTATTTATTCCGAGAACTGTAATCCATATTCTCTTTATTCTGATGCCCAGATTGTCCCACATTGGTCCCTGGGAGTCTGAGCAACTTCCTGTTCCTTTTGACCTGCCTCCACTGTTGAGTTCTTCCTTAAATCTGGCTCTTGTAATTCCTCCTCCGTGGCCCCAATACCAGCCATTTCTCCAAAAAGCCCTGTTCCTTTTAGTGGAGGATGATATTTAGAAGTCAGGAGACGGGCTCATTGCTTCTGGGTCGTGTTTGCTCCAGGGTCCTCTCCGTGGACTGAGCTAGAAACTAGATGTGTGTACTTACATCTCCATTTATTTCCATATCTCTAAGTATCTCAGCCACAAGCTCCCACTGGCACCTGCAGTCTCGGCTCGACGCTACAGGGTGCGTCCTGAGTCTCTCCGTCCATCTTTCAGCCTCTTCTGCCATGTGTGACTCTTACCTGTAATCTGCTTATTTATGGTTCATCCCTTGTGTGTAACTAAGGTCCCATGGCCCCTGCCCCTGCCCCATTCAGATGCCCGCCTCGGGACACTCAGGCTAAGACTCCAGACGGCAGCCCCCGCCCTGGTCATGGCCACGCCTAACGACTTGGCTGAATTGTTCCAGAAGAGACAGCAGCATCTTTACTGCTTTTTCTTCTTGGTCCTTACTACACACCATAGCATTTGATTTGATTTTGTTCATTGTTGGATCCTTAATTTTCTTAAAAGATTTCTTAAGCTGATTGGAAACAGACTGTTTTCCACAGTCTGTGCCCCCACAGTCGTGAGTATAGAACTGACCATACATCAGGCATTTTGGTGCCTGTGGTTAGATTGACTTTTGTAACGTGCGTGTTTGTATCTCTTCAAGAGCTGGAGAAGGAACGGCAGCGAAGCCTGGGGAAGCCTTTGCTGGGGGGCCCATTTTCCCTCACAACACATACTGGAGAGCCCAAAACTGACAAAGACTACGTGGGTCAGTGGGTATTGATTTATTTTGGTTTCACTCATTGCCCTGATGTCTGTCCAGAAGAACTAGAAAAAATGATTCAAGTCGTGGATGAGATAGGTAAGCCATCACTGACTATAAAAAGTACGTTTACTTAATGTCGTTAACGTTACCACGCTTTTCACGTTCTCCTATTACTGTCAGGTCGGGTGTCGTGATCATTTGGGTTCATTGTGAGAACATAAAATCTTAGCATCGCGCTTGTTCGCTGCTTTGATTCCTGTGACCGTATCCTCTACCAGAGGGAGCTTTCAAATGCTGGGAGGTCTGGTTTCCCATAGCTCTGCATTGTGCCCCTTCCTTGATTGTAGACGCCCATCACTGACCCTGCCTTCGTGCATGTGACACACAGACTGTGCAGTCAGCCGCATTTATGACCAATGAGGAAGCGGATATGTCCTTCTTAAAATACATTGTTTCAGGGGATCCAGCCTTTATTGATGATTATCGCCCTGATGATTATTGCGGGGGGCAGACTGCAAACATCAGGTTGGATCAGGACACGAGATAGCCACACGATGTGATCTGGGTAACGTGCACAAACTGGTGCAGGTGTTCGGTAGGATAATTATCTGGTTCCCGCACAGATACTGTGGACATCTGCTCCTCCTGCAGGCCGTCCCATCCCCTGCCCCGCCCCACCCTCTGCACGCGAATGTTCGGTGTCCCTCTGCTTCCTGAACGCCTTGCTGAAGCACTTACTATTGCCGGGGTTCCTCTTCTCCCCTAGAGTGTGAATACTGATCAGTGAGAACTTTCTTTCAGATAATATTCCAACTCTGCCGAATTTAACTCCACTTTTCATCACTATTGACCCAGAAAGGGACACAAAAGAAGCCATCGCAAATTATGTGAAAGGTATGTCTTATTAATAATATTTACATCTCGGGGCACCTGGGTGGATCAGTCAGTTAAGCATCCAACCCTCGACTTCAGCTCAGGTCATGATCTCAGGGTCCTGGGATTGAGCCCTGCACCGGGCTCTCTGCTCAGTGCGGAGTCTGCTGGAGATTCTTTCTCCCTCTGCACCCCCCCCCACCCGCTCACACACAGGCTTTTTCTCTCTCAAATAAATAAATAAAATTAAAATATTAAAAGAATAATAATACTTTACATTTGTTTAAGCTTTTAGAGTTTTTGAAAGATCAACTCATTTGACCTTACATGCCTCGTGAAATAGGACAAATGATATTATCATCAGGTTTAGAGAAGATGAAAAGGTGAGGCTCAGTTGTGACTTTGGCTGATAAGCAAATAAACAAGTTTCTCAACTCCCAATGCACAGCTGTGTTTATTTTGTCACAGGAAAGACTGAACTTGGCCTTCATACAGCAACAAAGCTGACAGAACGTTAAGTAGAGAGTGAAGACACATTGCTTCTAATTCCAGCTCTGTACCTCATTCTCTCTGTAAAATTAGGACAAACATAAATCCTGGGAGTGTGTAGGTTGGGAGATTAGAGACTTTATATACAGTTTGAGGTCCTAACACATATTTTATAAATCCAGAACATTTATTATGACAGAGACACATGTATAACTTTTCTTGGGAAAGTTGAAACATCTCCACGTGCAAGTTAAAACCTATGAGAAGGCATTTTTACAGACTAGGTAATGGTAGAATTAAAGATGAATGCTTAGGTCCTTAGGAGCTTGGGCAAGTTGCAGAATTTCTCGGGACTCAGGTTTCCTCAGCTGAAAAATGATGACAATAAAAATCTGTTTTGTTGTTATAGGAGTGACGGGAACGTGGGTGCTGAAAAATCAGGAATTGGAATTTTAATTTTAATTATGGTGAAATTGGTTTAGGCTATTGGTCAGGGGGACCGATGAATAGTTTTACATTTAATTTTACATATGACACATTGTAGCGCATATCGTCTAAAGCTTTGAGGTTATTTAAAAGTATTTTGTGGGGGCGCCTGGGTGGCTCAGTCGTTAAGCGTCTGCCTTCGGCTCAGGTCATGATCCCAGGGTCCTGGGATCGAGCCCCGCATCAGGCTCCTTGCTCTGCAGGGAGTCTGCTTCTCCCTCTACCTCTGCCTGCAGCTCCTCCTGCTTGTGCTCTCTCTCTGTGTCAAATAAATAAATAAAATCTTAAAAAAAAAATTAAAAAATAAAAGTATTTTGTGAAGGCCCTGCTGTACCTTCTGTTATTTAACATATTTACTGAGATATAATCAACATACACTAACACGTAAATATATAAAGTCTACAGTTTGTTACCTTTAGTCATATGTCTGCACTTGTGAAATCATCAAGCAAAACTGGACGTTACTGTCACCCCCAGCGGTTTCCTTGCACCCTTGCTCCTCCCTCCCCTATGCCCCCCTCCTGTCTCCGGGCACCCACTGATCTGCTTTCTGTCGATGTAGGTTAGTTTGCATTTTCTGGAAGTTTATGCGAACAGAATTATACACTGTATACTTTTTTCTTTTTATGGCTTCTTTCAGCATAATGCTTTTGAGACTCATCCACGTTTTCGCCTGTGTTAGCAGTTCACTCTTTTACTGCTGAGCAGTGTTCTGTTGATGGACATTAGAGTTACTTCCAGTTCGGGGCTGCTACAGAGCATTCAAGTCCAAGTCTTTGTACGGACACGTACTTCCATTTCTCTTGAGTAAAAGCATACGAGTAGGTTGTTGGATCATGTGGTAGGTGCACGTTCATCTTTTTAAGAAACTGATAAACAGTTTTCCAGAGTGGTTGTACGTTTTTACATTCCCACCAGCCACGTGTGAGAGAGCTCTAGCTCCTGCCCATCCTTACCACACTTGATATGGCCGGCCTTTGACTGTAGCCACTTCACTAGCTGTTCGCTGGCTGCTCATCGTGGATTGCTATGCTTCGCCCTAATGACCCTTGATAGTAAGCATCTGGGACGCCTGGGTGGCTCAGTTGGTTAAAGTATCCAGTCTTGGTTTCAGCCCCGGCCTGATCTTGGGGTGATGAGATCAAGCCCTGTGTCAGGCTCCATGCTCAGTAGGGTCTACTTGGGATTCTCTTTCCGTCTCCCACTGCCCCTCCTCACTCGCTCGTTCTCTCTCTCAAATAAATCTTCAGAAAAAAAAAAAAAATACTAGGGGCGCCTGGGTGGTTCAATCGGTTAAGCATCTGCCTTCAGCTCAGGTCATGCCCAGGGTTCTGGGATCAAGCCCCTCATCGGGCTCCCTGCTCAGCGGAGAGCCTGCTTCTCCCTCTCCCTCTACCTGCTGCTCTGCCTACTTACGCTCTCTCTCTAGCTCTCTGTCAAATAAATAAAATCTTTAAAAATAAAAAAATATTAAGCATCTTTTTGTGTTCTTACCACCTGTATGTCTTCTTTGGTGAAGTGTCTTTTCATACCTTTCGCTCATTTCTGTGGGGCTGTTCATTTTACTTGTATTTGTTTATCACGTATGTTCCCAATACGAGTCTTTTATCGGGTGTATGATTCACAGACATTTTCTCCCAGTCTGTGGCTTGTCATTTCAGTCTCTTAATGTGGTTTGAAGAGCAGTTTTCAGTTTTTGTTTTTGTTTTTTTAAGATTTTATTTATTTATTTGACAGAGACACAGCGAGAGAGGGAACACAAGCAGGGGGAGTGGGAGGGGGAGAAGCAGGCTTCTCGCGGAGCAGGGAGCCTGATGCGGGGCTCGATCCCGGGACGCTGAGATCATGACCTGAGCCAAAGGCAGACAAAGACTGAGCCACCAGGACCCTGGGATCACGACCTGAGCCGAAGGCAGATGCTTAACGACTGAGCCACCCAGGCGCCCCCAAGCAGTTTTCAGTTTTGATGAAATCCAGTTTATTAGCATATTCTTTTATAGATAAATCTTTTGGTTTCATTTGTAAGAAATCTTTGCCCAGCCGAAGGTTAGAAAGGTTTATTTTTTCTTGAAGTTTTAGAGTTTTTATTAGATATTTAAGGCGAATGTGTGTTCACAGTGTACAGATTTAGCAGGAATTTGAACAATGACAGTTATTTCCTAAAGCAGGTGTGACTCATTGGGTGACAAATGATCTCTAGTGTAAGTGTGTTATGTTGTCACCGGTTTGTTACTGCAGGTTAACCAAATCCTAAATGTCCCCAGATGAGGGGAGATATGAGTTCTCATAACTGAAATGCAAAAACTGTACAGTAATATTCTTCACCGGCACATACGTACATCTGTTTAAGCTCTTAGAGTTTTTGAAAGATCCGTTCTTTCAAAATTCTTTACTAGTTGAATTGGAACCGGGGGGAATTTAAAAATATTGAAGTTCATGTGTAGAAAATTACTGCGATTTCAACAGTTTTTTTAAAAAGGTTTGGACATGCAACTAATGTAGACTTCATTCACTCTTCTCTCAGAATGGAAAAGAAAAACAAGCCATCCTGCTTTTTCAGTATCTGAACAGTTTTTCAATTCAGGATGAATTAGAAATGACAGTAGGTTTTTTTTCTCTACCTTTGGAAGAAGGTCCTGCTGTTAGGTGTTGGACTATCATCTCTAGTCTGATGAATCCAGGTGTTTTAAGTGACTTCTACCAGCTCACTCCCATGAATCCCAAAAACCGAGCAGCAGATGCATGCAGTGAGATTGTTTGCTGGAAAATGAGATACAGCTGTTGGCGTGGGATGACTGAATCGTGAAGCAGACCTTTTTTTCAGGACACGATGAAAAACTGTACTGCTTAATTCATGACAATATCTATCTATAAACTTCACAAGTCTCAGAATATATTTAAGTGTTTAAAAGCAACTAAATTGGGCGCCTGGGTGGCTCAGTCGTTAAGCATCTGCCTTCGGCTCAGGTCATGATCCCAGGGTCCTGGGATGGAGTCCCACATCGGGCTCCCTGCTCGGCGGGAAGCCTGCTTCTCCCTCTCCCACTCCCCCTGCTTGTGTTCCTGCTCTCTCTCTCTCTCTGTCAAATAAATAAATAAAATCTTTTTAAAAAAAAAAACAACTGTATTAACAAAAAATGTGATTTAAATAATTAGGATCCATTCCCTTCAGATCTTTACAAGATCATTTTGAAAGGATCTGACTTACATATTTATAAAGAACCAGCTTTGGGTTTCGTTGCTTTTCCTCTACCGATTTCCTGTTTTCAGTTTCATTGATTTCTGCTCTCATTCCTTTCTCTGTTCACTTTGGATTTAACTTGCTTTTCTTTCTCTAGCTTCCTAGGGGGGATATTTAGAGTCCCGATTTTAGGTCTCTTCTGCAGTGTACGAATTCAGTGCCACAAATATCCCTCAAAGCACTGCTTTGGCTGCATCCCACAAATTTCGATAAGTTGTGTTTTCATTTTCACTTAGTTCAAAATACTTTTCAGTTTCTCTTGAGATTCCTTCTTTGACCCGTGTATTATTCAGAAGTTTTCATCTCCATGTGTCTTGGGCTTTTCTACTTATCTTTCCGTTACTGACTTCTCTTTTAACTGCACTGTGGTCTGAGAGCACATCATACGGTTTCTGTTCTTTTAAATCTGTTGGGGTGCACTTGATGGCCCAGAACATGGCCTGTCTTGGTGAATGTGACTTCTTTATTACGGAGGAGAATTTGCATGTGTTCTGGGTGCATTTCTTTTCCTGTGAATCACGAGGGAGTGTTCAGGGACTCCCAGAAGACAGTGGCAGGAGAGCTGCCTTATAACTGAGACTGGTTTTTAAAGTCCAGGTGGGGGGGGGGGTTCGCTTGCTGCTCATTTTTCACTGCATTTCTAATTTTTTATTCAGAATTTTCTCCCAAACTGGTTGGCCTGACTGGCAGCAAAGAAGAGATTGATCAAGTGGCCCGCGCATACAGGGTGTATTACAGCCCTGGCCCCAAGGACGAGGATGAGGACTACATAGTAAGTAAATGCTTGGGTGTCACCCACAGGCTGGCTCTCAGGCCCCTCACAGTCCTACAGCTCGAACGACTGGCTTCAGAAATGAAAGAAAGGGGCGCCTGGGTGGCTCAGTCGTTAAGCATCTGCCTTCGGTTCAGGTCATGATCCCAGGGTCCCGGGATCGAGCCCTGCATTAGGCTCCCTGCATAGCGGGGAGTCTGCTTCTCCCTCTGCCCCTCACCCTGCTTGTGCTCTCTCTCTCTCTCAAATAAATAATTAAAATCTTTTAAAAAAAAAAAAAATGAAAGAAAGGCTGAGATCAGCACAAATTCCTCAGAAATTGGGGATATTTGAAAGGACAATAGAAGTATCGCTTTTTTAAGAATGCTGGTTTAATGTATATTCACTGTTCTCATAACTTCATTGCCTGTTTTCCTTCTTAGTGGCCCATAAAATTATGGGAGGATACACAGTGAGTGGTATTTTAGATTCAGTAGAACGTGATGCTTGGAGACCACGTTGGAAATAAAGAGAAGCCATCATTTGGGGGCAACGCTTGTTTGAATTCAGAACATTGTATAGGTTCTCCCCGTGTCCCCAGGGAAGAGCGTAGGAAGCGGTGCAAGGCCCTGGGGACGTGCATTTTTGGAATGCATCAGAGTTCTGAAAAGCAAGAGAAAAGAGTGAAAGCCATGAGAAGGTAGACTTTCTGGAAGGTTTATTTTCCTAGCAGCTATATGCTTTGCACAACCACGTGTTCGTGTTTGCTTCCTGCTGTTGAAGGACAGACGGGGCAGCGCGGGTGCAGCTCTGCGTTGTCATATTCTGCGGCGCTGCCCCACCAGCCCGGGGCGGGTGTCCACGTTACCTCGTTCCTTCTCTCAGCGGTGCCGTCACAGTGGAACACCACGAAGCGCACCTGCACTGCCCTGCCCACCCAGGTTTCTTCTCAAACTGGACGTTTCTTCCTGTCTGTCAATACTTGACCTTGTGGTAGCAGTTCAGATTTCCCCCTGTGCCCTGGCTTCTCTGTAACATTGGTTGAGCACAGCGATTAGTCGTAAGAGTCGATCTATAAACCGTGGTTTGGGTTGGAGCGCTCTCAGATCGATGCCCAACTGTACCATCAGCTGGCCTCCGTGTGTTATGTAAAATACTTGGGAACATCGGGTTGTGTGGTCTGCTTTGACTGGTTGGTCTTGACTCAGCAAGAACACATCATTTTCATGATACTGTAACCAGTAGGGACAGCTGTGTGCCCTGCAGATCATAAACATAAACGTGCCTTTGGGTGCTGAGATTTGTGTTCAGTCATAAGGTAGTCCTGCACAGAATCCAGAATGTGAATGGTAACTTTTTTCATTTTAAAAATTAGAATACAGATAAATTTAAGTCTTTTTTTTTTTTTTAGATTCTTATTTATTTATTTGAGAGAGAGAGAGCCAAGAGCGCGTGAGCACTGGGGAGGGGCGGAGAGAGAGAAAGAAGTAAAGCAGACTCCCCGCTGAGCAAGGAGCCTGACTCGGGGCTCTATTCCAGGACCAAGAGATCATGACCCAAGAGATCATGACCTGAGCCGAAGGCAGATGCGTACCCGACTGAACCACCAGGTGCCCCTGCAGATAAAATATTTAAGTCTCATAGAGATTTCTTGGACCCTCTGGAATTCATGCTAGACCCCATTTTGAGACATACTAGTCTACTGCACTAAGAATTTGACCTTTTGATCAGAACCAGTGAGTTGTACATCTGAAGCTAATATAACGCTGGATATTATTAACTGCACTGGAATGAAAGTAACAACAAAAAAAGAACCAATGAGGTTGTTGCTATACATTTGCTAAATCAACCAGTAGGGGGAGGCGCTCTCCAGCTTGTTGGGTCTTTCATTGTTACACCGTCTGTGCCTTGAGGCCACAGATCTTCATCCACAGAACGGTATGGGAAGCTTCTGTCAAGACTTAGGGCCTGTAGGGAGTGAGGGAGTGTCTTAAAGGCTTAGATGTAACCGAGTGAGGTTTTCTTAATCTCAGGAGCCACAGAAGGGAAGCTTCCGACTTTCGAGCGCCCGTGGAGTCTTCAGACAGATAGTATGTGTAAAGTGGGCGTGCCAGACACTTAGGATTCCGTCGGAAGCTAAGCGTGTACATCACTGCTATGTATATATGATATTACCTTAGTCTGTGTTACATAGGAAGTGTTTTTGAAAAACACTACAACTTGGGGCACCTGGGTGGCTCAGTCCGTTAAGCATCCAACTCTTGACTTCGGCTCAGGTCATGATCTCAGGGTCGTGAGATGAAGCCCTGCGTCAGGCTCTGTGCTCGGCGGGGAGTCTGCTTAAGATTCTCTCTCCCTCTCCCTCTGCCCGCCCCCATGCTCTCGCTCTCTAAAAAAAAAAAGAAAGAAAAATACTACAACAGGCTTTTAAACCCAAGAAAAGATGTTCAGTTCCGCTCAAAATGAAAGAATGGGAATTACACAGTGTAATGCCGCTTTCTACCTGTTAGATCAGCAGAGGTCAAAAGTTTGAAATATTGTTGAAATCTCGTTTGGGAAAAGAGGGAATACACTGTTGGAGTGAATTTGGAAGAACAGGCACCCACCCTGCGTGGATGATAGGAATTTAAGTGATACACCCTCTTCGGGGGGGCGGTTTGTCACATTTAAAGTGGAATACCTTTTACTTCAGAGACTCTGCTTTGGGGAATTTTTCTACACCTGCACCCTACAGCACTGTTCTTAGAGGAGACAGAAAACCAAGCAGCCGATTTTTAAAGGCTACTGTGTAGGTACTCAGAACGGTGTCCAATCCGTTGTCAAATGAGAAAGCAGCTACAGTGTGTTGTTACTCCCACATAGAAGGAAGAAGTGCTGGTGGTGAAAGAAGTAGACACACAGTAAAAAGTGCAGGCAGTTTCCCTGGAAGCATCCAGAAGGAACTGGTGACAGTGGTTCCCTCTGAGCACAACGGAGGGACGCTGGGCGTCTGGAACAAGTGGCAGATTTCTGCTGCATACGTTTACTGTATATTCCCATGTGCATTTTTATGTGCACATATGTTACCTTTTCAAAACATAATGTGTCCAGAAAACTCACCCGTCAGAAAAGCCACGGAGATTGTGGCAGCGAGCTGGTAGAAGGGGTGGACTGTGAAAGTGGACAGACCCGGGTATAAGCTTAGGTCTGGCATTTACTAATGATTTAACTTACTCTCGAGCCCTTTGGATCGCTTGTAGAGGAGGAGGATACCTGGCTCCGGGACGAAAGCAGCGTGAGAAAGAGCGTGTCAGTCCACACCAGCTTCCTTTCTCTATCCTAGGAACTACTCGCACTTCAAAGCACTCTGTGTTAGAGACACACGGCGATTCGCTCTGCCCACAAGCCACTGAACGTCAAGACGTGACCACTGACCAGTTTGGCAGATGCGGATGGAACAATATTTTCACTCCATATTAGAGAGTAACTTATATTAAGCACACTCGTAAGAGAAATCCACTGGAGTTCTAGTCTTTTAAGGGAGAGAGAGAATAGAGTGGGAAAAAGGGAGAAGTAGGGACAAAGATGGAGGCCGGAGACTCTGCTGTGACTGTCGGATGTGCGGAGAAGCGCAGCTCCCCTGTCCTCCGTGTCCTGCTCCTGCAGTAGGTTATTCCAAGACACATGAAATCAGCAGCTGTTTGAGCTCTTGGCTTACATTCCTTCCTTATGCGCGCAGGCAAGTGGCTCTTTCCATTTGCTCTCTCCTTGTGAATGTGTGTATATAAAGAAGTAATAACCTCACAGACCTATAATGTGTGGCGGGTACATTTGGGGGTGGCTCCGGTTTGCTATGTGCGATCGTATTTCTGTCTTTTTGTCTTGCCAAATAGCAATCAAGCCTGCAATAAACTCCAAGGACTCTAGGCGCCAAGTCTTCTCATTTAAACTGGGATTTGGTGGAAGCATATAAATAAAAAAATTGATGACTAATCTAAGCCCAAGTAAGAGCTAGGAATGTTTTCAGAGCTTTGCCTGGAAAACAGATAATAAATTGAAGGTGACTCCTTGGAGGTGTAGCATTTCCGGCTCCTAAGGAGTTACCAGGTCATCTGCTTCTGATGGGATCATTCAGCGTAGTAGATACAAATTTCCTAGGGGGGGAACCCTTGTTTTCATGTTTCCGTTTGCATCACTGATAATCAGGACTAAATATTGTGCTGAAATTTATAAATTACATACTTACAGTAGTGGTGGGTTTTCTGGATTCTCCTAAAAGGTGGTAGGCAGCATTTAGGAATAATGAGGAATACTACACACACACAGACACACACACACACACACACATTTATGCACATATTCCTAAAGCAGTAGTCAGTTGTTGGAAGTGGATTCTCGGAGATTGTGTGGACGCGCCTGTCACGGATGGAACCACCAGAATTCCCAAGTTCTACCTGCTGTTTAAAGCAGTAGTCAGTGCGGAGTTCTGGAACACACAAGATTTTAGATACTTGTCACCGTGAATTTATTACAGTAGGCTTAGAGCCATTCTGTAAATGACCACTATTACAAAGGCTGTTTAAGCATTAATGTGAAATTCTCTCCTGCAGTATTTACTCAGAATAAGCAGCGTATTTCAGTAATCTTTTTGTCCTTTCTCTCCCTCCTCCCCCCTTTCTCTGCAGGTGGATCATACAATAATCATGTACTTGATTGGACCAGATGGTCAATTCCTAGATTATTTTGGCCAGAACAAGAAGAATGCAGAAATTGCAGGTTCCATTGCCGCGCACATGAGGGAACACAGGAGGAAGAGCTAGCCAGAGCCACAGTGCTGGCCGAGTGTTCTCTTGCAGAAGGGGAAAAAAGCTTTGTCTCCCATAGGAGCCAAGATACACATACACACACACACACACACACACACACACACACACACGCACGCATATGCAACCTACAGAATTGCCTTCGCACCACAAGAGCATCTTGTCTATTATCTGAGAGCTGTCCGACCCAAACCGTGGACAGGGCATGTTACCCTTGGGTTCTGCCAAGATAGTTCTTAGAACTGTAAAGATTGCAACCGAACAGTCACTTGAGCCCAGAGGACCAAGTTAGCGTGAGGCCAGTGGAGGGGACCTCGGGAAGCAGGAAAGGCGCAGCAGGTGCATTTCCCCACGTCAGCAGGGCCCTCAGATCAGCGTTGCTGCCCCTCTGGTGCCCTGGACCCTTGTCCACGGTGTGGGCCTGAATTTCCAGGAAGAGTGAAATTTCCATAGTGCCCTTGATTCTCCTCTTCGAGTTCTTGGTGGCTGCTGACAGTCAAATCAGGCTCTTGGACGTCGTGGTTAATCTGTAGACCTGAAAGCGCACGTGTCTATAGTCCTGCAGGTTAGCAGATCTCACGGTCAGGTTTGCATTGTGTTCCCCTGGAAGTACCTGCTGCATTTACTATGAAGAGGAAATCTATTGCTAGGTCAGTTTCTCTAGGAATCTTTTATGTGATTTTTATTTAAATGTGCGGGGTGTTCAGTGACCTACCAAATGGAGGAAGGCCATCTTGATCGTGGCTGTAATACAGGGTACTTGTCTGCCCAGACTGGGTTGCAGTGGGTGTGAAATAAAGGTGTGTTGAGTTTTGCAAGCATGACTTTGCTCATGGGTGAATCGTGGGTGCGCGCACGGCAGCACACGGCCCTCGGAGCAGAGACCCACGGCCTCGGGGGGCCTCTTGGGTGCTTGTTAAAGCCCCGGTTCCCGGCCAGAGCTGGATTCGCGGGGTCCGGGGTGGGATGTGGACCCCTGCGCTCGTAAGCAGCCTGCAGGTGGCCCAGTGCTGGCAGCCTGGGGACCGTGCCTGGTGAGACTTGTGTGGGGAAGCAAGGCTTTGATCTGGGCAGGTGAAAACGTGACCAGCTTTTGGTGTGACTGTCAAAAGTGCTGTGCACACAGCCGTCCAGGAAAATGACTGTCGAGTGGTGGGATGAATCTTCTGTTTGTGAATTCCGCTTCCCTGGGCGTCTGTCTGGGCTTGACCGTCCCTTTCTTCCCCCTGAAGCTGCTCCCCAGGGCAGCTCTGGAAGGTCTTCAGTAAATCCTAACACATGTGGGTATCCTTTCGGTCAGACGACAGGTTCTTACACAGCACTTGGGTTTCACATGCACGTGAGCCAGGCCTGTCTTGGTTTTTTAAACTCTCGCTAATTACATCAAGCCTACTAAAAATACGACAAAGTATGCTAAGAAGAAAAATCGTAAACTCTGCAGTGGTTCTGTGGGCTGTATTGTGTCCCCCCAGGATTCGAATGGTGCAGTGCTGGCCCCCAGCACCTCACAGTGTGGCAGTATTGGGGGCAGAGGGTCTTTACAGAGGTGACTGAGTGTAAATGAGGCCGTGAGTGTGGGCCCTCGGCCGGTGTGACCGGCGTCCCTGAAGAAGGGGAGACCCCAGCTCCACGAGAAGCCACCTCCGCCGACCCCTTGCCCTCGGGCTCGGAGGCCCCAGCGCCGTGGGAAGATGGGTGTCTGTTTAAGCCCCCAGTGTGCAGGGCTCCCCGAGGGGCAGGCTCCCTGAGAGACAACCACAGATCGAGTTCATGGCAAGTCCAGGCTGGAACGCCTTTGCTAGGAACCTTGTCAAGAAGGCGAGACTTCACCAAAGGACCAGTCTCGTGTGACAAAAAAGATACTAAATAAGGGCGCCGGGGGTGGGGGTGGGGGTTGCTCTGTCAATTGAGCGTTTCTGACTCTTGATCTGAGCTCAGGTCTTGATCTCAGGATTGTGAGTCCAAGCCCCACATTGGGCTCCACCCTGGGTGTGGAGCTTACTTTAAAAAGAAAAAGAAAAGAAAAAAAAAGTACTAAATATCTAAAATGCCAGACATCAGAAAAGAGGGTCTGTTTTAAGCCCCGGAACATTTGTGCGGATCGCTTTGCCGACGGCTTGCTCCCGATAAAACACAGTCCTCATTCTCAGCTGTTGCAGGTTAGAGCTGGTGTCATGATCCAGAAAGGAACCAGCAGCTCTTGAAGAAACATATTTCCCCTTCATTCCAGTGTCAAGTTTAAAGGCTTAGAATCAGGATGTTAGCAGCAGGGAAAGGGGCCTCGGAGATGAAGTCCAAATCTTTTTTTACTCATGAGGGGACAGTCCCTGGGTTCTGAACCTAGATTAGAACTCGGGTCTCTGTGTCCAGTCAAGCCCCAGTGTGTTCCCTGCCTTGGGGGCGGGGGGGTTGGCTTACAGTGACCTTGGAATCCAACCAAACCTGGGGGTGTGTGCTGGGCGGGTAGCCTTTCAATCATGAATTTGGGGAAATCAGAATCAAGGCTGCCTTACAACAAAGTATCACTTGTAGATCTTTACCTGGGTCACTTAGAGTGCTCGCGCTGGACTCTTCATAGAGTTAATATTTCTAGAAACGGCCGTTGTTTATTTGAAAATTCTAAGAGTCCGGCCCATGCGGGAGGCTGGGAAGTATTTAATGCATCCGGCTGTCCACGAGGCGGCCCATCACCTGAGGTCTAGGTGCTTAGACTCACTGAACCACCCATTCAGTCCGTCTGCAATAAAACACCCATGAGTTGGGAGGCTGATGTGAACCCAGTAAGGTGATTTGAAGTCAAAAATGTATCTGCACTGAGGTATTTTAAAATATTTCTTACTGCTTTTAAATGTGTGAGTAAAAAATGAAACTTCTCAAATCATCCGTGATCCCTCAAATAATATCTTTCTTAAATGTTTCATATAGTACAATTTAAATCTCTGCATGTGTGTGTGAGAGCGAGCTACCTTTAAAAGAGCAGTCACCCATGCAGACATTTTTATTCCTTAACACCTCTAGAACTTAGGAGGTCATCATTTGCTATTCATTTTTAAAAGGTATTTTAAAGGCGATTGGTTCTTCCACAATTTCACTTTATCTTCAGTAAAGAAAATTTGGAATATACAGAAAAGTTGAAGTAATTTTGAAATCACCATTATTCCAATACCAGGAAACAATATTGGGATGCATTTCCCTTGAATCATCATGTTAAGATCTCTTCTTATGCCAGAAACTCACGAGTGTACCCCTTTATAAAGTGAGTCAGGACATTGCAGACTCGAGCCCCTCTTCCCCACCGCTCCCTGCCCCCCTGACAAGCACCTGCGGCTTCGTGTTGGGTGGGCATCTTCCCAGAGCCCCGAGGGTCCAGTCGGGCTCAAGTTACAAACTCGAAGCTAAACGTGTTACTGCTGTGACTCGCACAGATGTTACTGGTTTTTATATGACTGGTAATTGTTATTTTTTTGTTATATTACTGCATATTGGTTTTATTATTGAGTTTGGTAAATACTGAAATTAGCCCAGTATTCCTGCCAAGATTCTGTGGTGGATTAGCCAGAGAAAAAATAGTTTTCAGGGCGATCTTCACTTGTCCCCTCAGTGCTCCCCTGACCCCATCTCACGAGCACGTGCACACACACACACACACACACACAAGCGTCTGCCTTCAGCTCAGGTCATGATCCCAGGGTCCTGGGATCCAGTCCCGCATCGGGCTCCCTGCTCGGCGGGGAGCCTGCTTCTCCCTCTGCTTGCTGCTCCCCCTGCTTGTGCTCTCGCTCTCTCTCTCTGTCAAATAAATAAAATCTTAAAAAAAAAAATACAATGCAAGCTAAGTTAACCCTCCCAAGCCTCTTCTCTTGCCCGTGGCCTGGGAATACTACCAGCAGGGCTGCTGGGCGGGTCCCCCCGCAAAGTCATGCAGAACACCAGCACATGCCTAGCAGGTGAGGGCTGCCATTATTTTGGTCTCGATGCACGTGCCGATTTGGGGCTTGACAGACGGTGTGGACAAGTGGGTTCGGTTATAAGTGCTTCCTGCCCTCCCTCAGTCACCGCTCCGCTTCAGCCCGCCTGGGGGGATGCTGACTCCTGACAGGCTCCCGCCCGTTCAGCCCCCCACACCCATGGGGTCATGTTGCCTTCATGAACCGTTCACACCTGCTTGGTTAAATGGCATTCGAATTTAGAGACAAGTTTCTTGGAAAAACCGTAAAGTTCGAACCAGAAACCTGGGGCATTTGGTCTTGACACAGGAACACCAGGGCACGGTCATATGGTAAGAGCCGGCAGCCCATTGGGGTTCTTGCTCAAGGCACAGAGGCCCCATGAAGCCCCCTTATCTTTAGTGAGGCAGACAGACTATAAACAAATAGGTTCAATGGCATCAGAGAGTAGTAAGTGCTAGGAAGAAACCAAGGTCTGGGGAGTGACGGGAAGGATGGGCATCAATTGGTCATGGGAGGGTCCTTCGGGGGGTGACCATCTGAAACCGTGTGAGTGAGCCATGTGAGTGTCTTGGGGGTGGGGGGGTCTTCCAGGACCAGGGCCGTGACCCCAGTAAGAGCAGCAAGGAGGCCAATGCCACAGCAGCCTGCTGAGTCAGGGAGGATGGGACGGAGACGCTGGGGAAGGGGCTGGGGGTCACACGCTGGGCAGGGCGAGGACTCTGGCTCTACTGTGAGCGTCGGGGGGTCGGGGGAGCCCGGGAAGGGCTGAGAGCAAGAGCCTGGCCTGACCCATGCACGCAGGGCGCCCGCTGTGATTGCTGCTTTGGTTCATGAGAGGAGTCAGGAGGCTAATGTCTCCCCTCATGGGGGGGGTCTTAAAAGTCACGCACCCTGTGTATTCTTCCAGGAGAAATCGCTGGCCACTTAATCGAAAGCAAAGTTTTCTTTTTTTTTTTACTGTGGAAATTTTAAAACCTAATCAAAGTGTAGAATCGTTTAGTGAACTTGATATGCCCACCGCCAAGCTTCGATAATGATTGCTGTGGGGCCAATGTTTCATCTACACCTGCACCCACTCCCACCCACCCCAATCCCACGTGTACGCCTCTATGAAAGATACCAGCTCTGTCTTCGCAAAACAAAGTCACAATCCCATCGTCACCTCACAACAAGCTGTGTGTCTTGTTTCTTGTTTAATAGTAGCCAATACCCCATCAGTGAAAGCTCAGGTTTACCGCTGGATCCTTTGCTGCAAGAAGCCACGACATCATTCATCCCGGAGGCGTGTTTTGTCCGTGTGGCACATGAGACTCTGGACCTACATCTGCACTCAGCGTCAGGACGACACGAGGGGTTTCGAGGGCCACGGCCCCTGCAAGCCTGCCCCCACGCCGTTCCCACTCAGGAGTGGCGGTATTTGGGTTGGACCAGATTAGAAAGACACCCCCCCCATCTTAGTTGTTTCATTCGTACGACAGAAATAACTGTGAGCACAAAGTGAGGCGCTGTGAGAACAGGGAAGACTAGTGGACAGTCATCACTGGGACCTGGGTGGTTATTGATTGCAAAGCATGAGGGGACAGCTTGATCCCGGTGATGACATACACATCTAAAATGTATGAAGCTACAGCAATGTCCACAATAGCCAAACTGTGGAAAGAGCCAAGATGTCCATCGACAGATGAATGGATAAAGAAGATGTGGTATATATATACAATGGAATATTATGCAGCCATCAAAAGGAATGAGATCTTGCCATTTGCAACAACGTGGATGGAACTGGAGGGTATTATGTTGAGCGAAATAAGTCAGTCAGAGAAAGACAAGTATCATATGACCTCACTGATATGAGGAATTCTTTTTTTTTTTTTAAG